CAGGTGACAAGGAGGGCCAGGGACGTCTACCAGGTGACAAGGAGGGCCAGGGACGTCTACCAGGTGACAAGGAGGGCCAGCGACGTCTACCAGGTGACAAGAAAGGCCAGGGCCCTCTGCCAGGTGACAAGGAGTGCCAGGGTCGTCTACCAGGTGACAAGGAGAGCTAGCGATGTCTATCAGGTGACAAGAAGGGCCAGGGACCTCTACCAGGTGACAAGGAGGGCCAGCGACGTCTACCAGGTGACAAGGAGGGCCAGGGATGTCTACCAGGTGACAAGGAGGGCCAGGGACGTGTACCAGGTGACAAGGAGGGCCAGGGACCTCTGCCAGGTGACAAGGAGAGCTAGCGATGTCTATCAGGTGACAAGAAGGGCCAGGGACCTCTACCAGGTGACAAGGAGTGCCAGGGTCGTCTACCAGGTGACAAGGAGAGCTAGCGATGTCTATCAGGACAAGGAGGGCCAGGAATATCTTTCAGGTGACAAGGAGAACCAGGGACGATACAATATGACGATACAATGTGACGATATATACATCGTCAGCGTCAACAGTAAATAATAACGGCAGGAATGATGTTCACGTGTGAACGAACACACACCACTTCTCTCCAAGAGAGGTGGTGTGTGTTCATTCAATCCACCGCGCCAAAGGAAATATAACACCTAAAGCCCCACACCCGTAAGGATCCTCCTCAACAGGAAGCTTCAGTACAATACTGGCAACCAGGTTTGCAGGAAGAGCAGCCAACAATCAGCTTCCACCTGATGCATTAGCAGTACAGACAGGATTAGAGGAAGAAAGATGGCACAGAATCCTCACAGCATGTGTAGAAGTCTCTGATACTAATGTCCCCTTCACATTGGATGAGCTCAATCGAACTAAGAAAAACTCTAAAGATACATCCCCTGGAGCCGACAAAATAACTTATAAAATGATTAGAAACCTCGGCACAGAGGGAGACGCTGCATACCTAAGATTAATTAATTTAGCCTGGACTTCTCAAACTAGACCTACAGCTTGGAATAGAGCAGACATAGTGCCGATCCCAAAACCCAAAGATCCAGCTAATCGCAGGCCCATCTCTCTCCAAAGCTGTGCAGCCAAGACGGCTGACAGAAAGGTGCTCAACAGACTGGAGTGGAAAATGCTTAAACTGCACCAGGATATTTATCCCTATAGAAGAGGGGTTGGCACAGTGGAATGTATTACAACTCTGTTAGCCCACTTGAATGACAGACCAGGAATGCTGATATTCCTGGACCTCCAGAAAGCCTTTGAATTAGCTAGCGCCCCAGCTATTCTCTGCTGCCTCATTGACAAAGTGGTCAGAGGCAACCTGCTCTCCTGGACCAAAAACTGTCTCGTAAACAGAGAAACAAGAGTAAAACTTCATGGCACAGTCTCTGAGTACAAAAGACATGAAAATGGTACACCGCAAGGAGGTATTCTCAGCCCCCTTCTCTTCAACTGTTTAATGGAAAGAATAATATGAAACTCCCACATCACTGCAGGCTGCTAAACTACACGGACGACTTTGTCATCATCATAAATGGAAGGGATGCGGCGCGCCTTGCACCCAAATGCTTAGACTGCATCAGTAAAGAGGCAAAACAGATTGGGATCAAACTCAACCCCTCAAAGTCAAAACCCATGCCCATAAAAATAGTGAAGCTCAACATCCAACTCACAGTACAGGGTTACCCAATGGGTGGACACTTATCAGCATCTAGGAATAATCCTGGACACACAAACATAAATTTTAATGCTGAGGTCACTTACTTCAGAGAGAGAACTGCGGCCCGGACGGCAATCCTCGGGTCGCTAACCTCTCTCTCTGGAGGAGCCAATCTGCAAGTCCTTCACACATACTATGTACAGGCAGTCAGATCAGTGATCGACTATGCCGCACCTGCACTCACAAGTCTATCACACCAACAGTGGAAAAAGCTTGAAGTTGCCCAAAACAATGCTATGAGAGCTGCACTGAGAGCCCCCATGTGGACCAGGCAATGTGTTTTCATGACTGAAAACGGGTTTACCCTCTCTACAAGACAATATCTCAAAGAACAGCTACGATTATCAGTAAGATCATTGTTTCCTCCTGATCCAGACCCAGTACGGCAGGCCTTGGTGGTTGGACTTGGCCAAAACAACGGAAACTCTTGGGCTGCCAGAGCGGAAAAAGTCCTAAACAGACTATAATTAAAAAACATGATTCTTGATAGAGGGGGTGATCATCCACACCCAAACTACACTTGTTCCCCGCCGCAGGAGGAGCCTACCTTCAAAATAGTAATAAAAAGTCTTCCAATGAAAAAGACTGCCTATGATCCAACAATCCTAAGGTGCATCATAGAAAAGCCAATGTGCAACATTCCAGTAGCAGGAGCCACCCACATCTTCACAGACGGATCGGTGGACACAGAATATGAGAGTGCTGGCGCTGCTCTTTGCACGGCCAGCGTACAGGCATACTGGAGACTGGGCGGACTAGTATCATCAACCCAAACTGAGCTGTTTGCCATACAACAGGCAATCGCATGTGATTGCACAAAGCACTCAAAATGCAATCATACACACAGACTCAAAAGCTGCACTTGAAATATTAAGAAAAAACAGTGGAAAGACAACGTGGAAATAATTACCACAATTTTGTATCTTGAAGCAGTCGCTAAAAGCAAAAGACTCAACATCACCCTAAACTGGATCCCATCCCATGTTGGAATACCATTAAATGAGAAAGCCGATGAAATTGCTAAATTGGCAACTCGTTATCCAGTGATCCACAAACAATCCAACCCGGCCTAGAGTAAATAAAAAACACAATCACCAAAAACATTCACACCTCAACAAAGCCCATCTACACCAGAGAGTAGCTGAAGGTTCGCCCTCTGCACTATGGTATCTTCAAGCCACCAAGTTAGACAGGTTAAACATCCCAAAAGGAATCCACAGGAATATAGCAGTTCGGTTATATAGACTACGTCTAGGTTACAGATGCAACTGGGAGATTGGTGAACTCAGAGGGAGGGCATCTTCTGCCAAAACAATCACAGAAAAGCCACTACTTCACTATCTCCAGGAATGTGAAGTAACCAACAACCTTAGAAGAGCTTTAAGAGTCCCTGAATCATGCAGTAACCACCCTGAAGCCATCAACACTGCCACTCTTCTCTCCAATAAAAGTGTGCAGCAGCTGGACACCCTCATAAACACTGTCAGGCAGTGCAGTCCCCAGCGATAGCAGCCACGATAGCAGCCTGACGATTAAATGCGACCTCAGCACACAATATACATTTACTAAAAAAAAAAAAAAACTACCACTTAGGGGGTATTCATGCCCGTGCCACCTCTTGGGTGGCTTAATCTTCATCAATCAATCAGCAGCCGCTTTCTTCCATTAATCTGTGCCTCTTGCTGCGTGCGGTCCTGTTGCATTCTTCCGGTGAGATTTTCCTGCTGAGTCTGTACAGAACTTTGTAACCCAGGTCCCGTCTGCCGTAGATCACAACACTTCTTTGGTGACAGGATGAACAACCCAGCGGGTTTTCTTCCTATTGGGGAGTGTTGTACATGCTGCTATGGCGGTGTGTCCACTCACAGGATGAGTGGCGCTGCCCAGTACTGTCACTATGGCGGTGTGTCCACTCACAGGATGAGTGGCGCTGCCCAATACTGTCACTATGGCGGTGTGTCCACTCACAGGATGAGTGACGCTGCCCAATACTGTCACTATGGCGGTGTGTCCACTCACAGGATGAGTGGCGCTGCCCAATACTGTCACTATGGCGGTGTGTCCACTCACAGGATGCGTGACGCTGCCCAGTACTGTCACTATGGCGGTGTGTCCACTCACAGGATGAGTGGCGCTGCCCAATACTGTCACTATGGCGGTGTGTCCACTCACAGGATGAGTGGCGCTGCCCAATACTGTCACTATGGCGGTGTGTCCACTCACAGGATGAGTGGCGCTGCCCAATACTGTCACTATGGCGGTGTGTCCACTCACAGGATGAGTGACGCTGCCCAATACTGTCACTATGGCGGTGTGTTCACTCACAGGATGAGTGACGCTGCCCAATACTGTCACTATGGCGGTGTGTTCACTCACAGGATGAGTGACGCTGCCCAATAAACTCGCCCCTCGGGGCAAAAATTAAAAAAAATATAGAAACGCTATGCTTCAGACGCTGTGTGGCTTTGCAAGACTGTAAAACATACCAATCTTGCGTAAACTCACAAACCCATCGTACCTTCTTGTAAATAAAAATATTAGTATTATTATGAACAATTCCGGCCCCCTTCCCCGCCCCATGGACGACCCCCATTACCGCCCCATGGAAGACCCCCATTACCGCCCCATGGAAGACCCCCCATTACCGCCCCATGGAAGACACCCCATTACCGCCCCATGGACGACCCCCATTACTGCCCCATGGAAGACACCCCATTACCGCCCCATGGAAGACCCCCATTACCGCCCCATGGAAGACCCCCATTACCGCCCCATGGAAGACCCCCCATGGAAGACCCCCCATTACCGCCCCATGGAAGACCCCCATTACCGCCCCATGGAAGACCCCCCATGGAAGACCCCCCATTACCGCCCCATGGAAGACCCCCATTACCGCCCCATGGAAGACCCCCCATTACCGCCCCATGGAAGACCCCCACTACCGCCCCATAGAAGACCCCCCATGGAAGACCCCCCATTACCGCCCCATGGAAGACCCCATTACCGCCCCATGGAAGACCCCCATTACCGCCCCATGGAAGACCCCCCCATTACCGCTCCATGGAAGACCCCCCCCCATTACCGCCCCATGGAAGACCCCCCATTACCGCCCCATGGAAGACCCCCCATTACCGCCCCATGGTAGACCCCCATTACCGCCCCATGGAAGACCCCCCATTACCGCCCCATGAAAGACCCCCCATTACCGCCCCATGGAAGACCCCCCATTACCGCCCCATGAACGACCCCCCATTACCGCCCCATGGAAGACCCCCCATTACCGCCCCATGGTAGACCCCCATTACCGCCCCATGGTAGACCCCCATTACCGCCCCATGGAAGACACCCCATTACCGCCCCATGGAAGACCCCCCATTACCGCCCCATGGTAGACCCCCATTACCGCCCCATGGAAGACCCCCATTACCGCCCCATGGAAGACCCCCATTACCGCCCCATGGAAGACCCCCCATGGAAGACCCCCCATTACCGCCCCATGGAAGACCCCCATTACCGCCCCATGGAAGACCCCCCATTACCGCCCCATGGAAGACCCCCACTACCGCCCCATAGAAGACCCCCCATGGAAGACCCCCCATTACCGCCCCATGGAAGACCCCATTACCGCCCCATGGAAGACCCCCATTACCGCCCCATGGAAGACCCCCCATTACCGCCCCATGGAAGACCCCCCCCATTACCGCCCCATGGAAGACCCCCCATTACCGCCCCATGGAAGACCCCCATTACCGCCCCATGGTAGACCCCCATTACCGCCCCATGGAAGACCCCCCATTACCGCCCCATGAAAGACCCCCATTACCGCCCCATGGAAGACCCCCCATTACCGCCCCATGAACGACCCCCCATTACCGCCCCATGGAAGACCCCCCATTACCGCCCCATGGTAGACCCCCATTACCGCCCCATGGAAGACCCCCCATTACCGCCCCATGGAAGACCCCCCCATTACCGCCCCATGGAAGACCCCCCCATTACCGCCCCATGGAAGACCCCCATTACCGCCCCATGGAAGACCCCCCATTACCGCCCCATGGTAGACCCCCATTACCGCCCCATGGAAGACCCCCCCATTACCGCCCCATGGAAGACCCTCCATTACCGCCCCATGGAAGACCCCCCATTACCGCCCCATGGAAGACCCCCATTACCGCCCCATGGAAGACCCCCCATTACCGCCCCATGGAAGACCCCCCATTACCGCCCCATGGAAGATCCCCCCATTACCGCCCCATGGAAGACCCCCATTACCGCCCCATGGAAGACCCCCCCATGGAAGACCCCCCATTACCGCCCCATGGAAGACCCCCCATTACCGCCCCATGGAAGACCCCCCATTACCGCCCCATGGAAGACACCCCATTACCGCCCCATGGAAGACCCCCATTACCGCCCCATGGAAGACCCCCCATTACCGCCCCATGGAAGACACCCCATTACCGCGCTATGGTAGACCCCCATTACCGCCCCATGGTAGACCCCCATTACCGCCCCATGGTAGACCCCCATTACCGCCCCATGGTAGACACCCCATTACCGCCCCATGGTAGACCCCCCATTACCGCCCCATGGTAGACCCCCCATTACCGCCCCATGGAAGACACCCCATTACCGCCCCATGGAAGACCCCCCATTACCGCCCCATGGAAGACCCCCCATTACCGCCCCATGGTAGACACCCCATTACCGCCCCATGGTAGACCCCCATTACCGCCCCATGGTAGACCCCCCATTACCGCCCCATGGTAGACCCCCCATTACCGCCCCATGGTAGACCCCCCATTACCGCCCCATGGTAGACCCCCATTACCGCCCCATGGTAGACACCCCATTACCGCCCCATGGTAGACACCCCATTACCGCCCCATGGTAGACCCCCCATTACCGCCCCATGGTAGACCCCCCATTACCACCCCATGGAAGACCCCCATTACCGCCCCATGGAAGACCCCCCATTACCGCCCCATGGAAGACCCCCCATTACCGCCCCATGGAAGACACCCCATTACCGCCCCATGGTAGACCCCCATTACCGCCCCATGGTAGACCCCCATTACCGCCCCATGGTAGACCCCCCATTACCGCCCCATGGTAGACACCCCATTACCGCCCCATGGTAGACCCCCCATTACCGCCCCATGGAAGACCCCCATTACCGCCCCATGGAAGACCCCCCATTACCGCCCCATGGCCCCATGGAAGACCCATTACCGCCCCATGGAAGACCCCCATTACCGCCCCATGGTAGACCCCCATTACCGCCCCATGGTAGACACCCCATTACCGCCCCATGGTAGACCCCCATTACCGCCCCATAAGACATTTTTCCCTGCCGCTCGGGGACGCTGGTGTCAGGGTGGACAACCTGCCCGACCTCTTACTGTTGGCAAGCCTGCATGCCAATTCAAACTATTTAACCTAATATAGTTTAGCTTTTATATAAATTTAGACATTATTAGTAATTTTAAAATAAAATTTTTGCCCAAACTAATTTTTGTACAGCAAAGTACTATCCATTGTACTATCCATTGAGAACATATATCATCCAAGTCAATAAATTAATCAATAATATGGGCTGGAGGTCATTTTCGACGGCAAACATATATTAAATAGCAACTGTTTTTTTCTGGGTAGTGACAAAGTTATTTGAAAGGGTAATAGAGGTTAATGATGCAAGTGGAGAAGTGGGAGGGTGACGCCGCCCGTAGCCCCTGAGGGAGCCGCCGGCCGCCATTACTTAGCGCTGACGGAACATGTCCTTTGTTTCCTAACCGTTGGTTCCAATATAAGCCGTTATTATCCCGCCAGGTTATATTGACAGGTATGTTATGAGTCTCGGGAGTAGTTGGGGCAGGTGTAGAGTAGTGGTGGAGGGGCGGGGTAGGTGGTGGTTAGTGGAGTAGTGGTGAAGAAGGAGCAGAGGAGCAGCGCAGGCTTGGGGGCGACGCCACGCCGCCCTTCCCGGCCCCCTTCACCGTCCCCGGCGCCTGGCTCCCCGCTCTCGCCGCCACTACCGCCCTCTCAGGGAGCTCTAGGTGGGCGGCAGGCTGGTGGTGGTGGTGGGCGGGGTGTGGGCGGTGGTGGGCGGGGTGGGCGCGCCGCCCCCCCAAACAAAGCCAAGACAGTGGCCATTTTCCCCCACACCTGATGGCCGCCCCTCCCCGCCCCCCCCTGCACGCCCTGGCCTCACCTCCCTAGGCCTCCACGCCTCGCCGTAGGCCTATTGATGACAATTGTCACTGGGAGGCGTAGGGGAGGTGTGGGGGGGGGGGAGAATGTCAGTAACCTGTGAAGGTTAAGACATTTGCTGGCATCATGTTGTTGTTGTTGTTTTAGATTTAGCTACTGGGAACGAGGTGTCCATGTAGCACGGGCTATGGTGAGCCCGTAGTGTCTCTAACTATTCATGGCTGGCACCAAGTTGTGATGGCTTGTTATACGAGCGGTCATAACCCTTGACCTCCCCTGACCTGCTGGCTCCCTGTCACCTCTACCCACGCAGGTCTAGCCCTCTATCCACTCTATCTATCCCAGTGGCGGAGCCTGGTGGCTAGCCAGTACCTGGCCAGGTCCGTCCTCATCGTCAACTTGTGCCGTGTTGGCTGTCGGTGGCACCTGCTGGCACTCTTGTCAGTTGTGGCACTCCAGGTGGCATTCTGTCCCGCACACTGCTTCTATATTCTGTCTGCCTGTCTGTGTACTCTCCTAGTTGTGCTTGCAGGGGTTGAGCTCTGGCTCTTTGGTCCCGCCTCTCAACTGTCAATCAACTGGTGTACAGGTTCCTGAGCCTACTGGGCTCTATCATATCTACATTATAAACTGTGTATGGAGTCAGCCTCCACCACATCACTGCCTAATGCATTCCACCTGTTAACTACTCTGACACTGAAAAAGTTCTTTCTAACGTCTCTGTGGCTCAATTATTCCTTGAGCTGTGCTTGGCATACATATATGACAGGAGTAACGTGTTCCACCATGAGCTTGACATACATATATGACAGGAATAACATGACCCACCATGAGCTTGACATACATATATGACAGGAGTAATGTCCCACCATGCAATTGGCATATATATGATTTGCATATTTAACAAATGTAAAATAGTCCTGCACATACATGGAGCCCACATTTGCTTCTTCAGGCCACCAGTAACCATCCCTCATCTTGAAAAATTTGGTACTGTGTAATTACTTAAGTGTAATTACCTAAGTGTAGTTACAGGATGAGAGCTACGCTCGTGGTGTCCCGTCTTTCCAGCACTCTTTGTCATATAACGCTTTGAAACTTCTGACGATCTTGGCCTCCACCACCTTCTCACTTAACTTGTTCCAACCGTCTACCACTCTGTTTACAAAAGTGAATTTTCGTATATTTCTCCGGCAGCTTTGTTTCGTTAGTTTAAATCTATGACCTCTTGTTCTTGAAGTGCCAGGTCTCAGGAAGTCTTCCCTGTCGATTTTATCAATTCCTGTTACTATTTTGTATGTAGTGATCATATCACCTCTTTTTCTTCTGTCTTCTAGTTTTGGCATATTTAATGCCTCTAACCTCTCCTCGTAGCTCTTGCCCTTCAGTTCTGGGAGCCACTTAGTAGCATGTCTCTGCACTTTTTCCAGTTTGTTGATGTGCTTCTTAAGATATGGGTACCACACAACAGCTGCATATTCTAGCTTTGGCCTAACAAAAGTCATGAACAATTTCTTTAGTATATCACCATCCATGTATTTAAAAGCAATTCTGAAATTAGAAAGCATAGCATAGGCTCCTTGCACAATATTCTTTATGTGGTCCTCAGGTGATAGTTTTCTATCTAGAACCACCCCTAGATCTCTCTCTTTATCAGAATTCTTTAAAGATTTCTCACATAATATATAGGTTGTGTGGGGTCTATGTTCTATTTCACATTCCATAACATGACATTTATTAACATTAAATTCCATTTGCCGTGGCGCTCCATGTACTTATTTTGTCCAGGTCTTCTTGAAGGGCATGACAATCATCTAATCAATCGTGTGTCTGGCTTCCTGTTCTGCCTGTCTGTCTCTGCCGGGTGCGTGGATCGAACCCCCGGTCCCTAGGTCCATGAGTCTAGAGCACTGTCCACTCAGCCACCCAGCGCACACAGACACACATGCGTGTGGGTATGTGTCAAATCCTATCTGTATGTACTCGCCTAGATGTGCTTCTAGGGGTCGAGCTAGGCTGCTAGCCCCTGCCTTCCAAATGTTCTTAGATTAATGCAGTGACTCATTTCTCATGCTTTTATCATATTTACATTTAAAACTTTGATTTGAATTAGCTTCCAACGACTTGTACGTCTAACCTTTTTCACTTATTGATAGCCGACACTGAAAGTTCTTTCTGGCATTCTTTGTGTCTTAGTTTCTATCTATAACCTCTTGGTCTGCTGTTCCTAGCTTTGAACAATGCTGCTTTGTCTACCTTATCAGTTTCCATTAAAATCTTACATATATTCCCAGTACTGTATTCCCCCTTCCTCCAGTGTCGGTCTGTCTGTCTGCCTGCCTGCCTTTGCAACCTGTTGTCAGGCTAGGCTCGTCCAACCAGCGGTCGACCCCAAAGATGCATTCATCAACTTTAATGTACTTTATTGCATACTAGAATATGTTGAATAATCAGGCCTAATTTAAGTTAGGTTAGGTTGTCAAGTTCAACTATTGGCCTGTTACGGCCTCACTTAGCCAGTAACCAGGTTCTTTCCACTCACTTTCAGTGGGGCCTTAGTACCTCTCCTTACCAGATCCATACCAGAGTCATAGGTAGGTTATTAACCTACCTATGACAGTAATGACAATTCAAATGACTGTCAAACTGACAGTACAGTAATTCAATTCAAATTCAAATTTTTATTCAGGGAAAAGTATATACATAGATGAGGAGTTACAAACATAATGTTGGATTTATAGATAGAGCTAGTACATACAATACCTAAAGCTATAATATTAAATATTAAATAATAATAAACAAATCCACAAGGGCTGTGACAAAGATTCGAACCTGCGTCCGAGAGCATCCCAGACACTGCCTTAATCGACTGAGCATCACGTTAGTGTGATCTCTGTGTGAAATAATAATAATATTCGGTCAATAATATTCAGAATTGTGGGTAAACAACACTAAACAAAACCATCACCATGTGTACTTCTCAACTATATGTGCTTATTACATATGTACAACACACAACACCGCAGGTGTCATTCACAGGGCACTATAAAAGAACTTCTGCGATCTCCTATCCCAGCGCGTCCTCTTATCGTACAACTCAAGGTTCTGTCCCTGAGCTTTTCTTCTACAGTACTCGTGCCGGCGAGTCCACCTTTCTCGGTAAATTGTGGGCCAGTCTTAGTGTCAAAACACCACTTTGGACTCTCCAACAACTCGCTGGCTGGCTTTCCCTAAAGGTTTCACCTGTAATGAGCCTTAACCACCGTGCTGCGCCAAGTTTATTGTGAAATTCCAAAAAATTCTGGTTTTCTTCGTAAAATGATAAATTCCCTTCCCTGAACATGTCTCTGAAATAAATACCAAATTCCACTTACTTTGGTTGTGGGGATGTGGACAAGGTGCGAGGCGACGTTATCTGTGGTCGCCCGTGCATGATTCGCACAGACGTGGTCGCACAGGCCATTTAAGCACTGGGTGTTGCCACAGATATTTTCAATTATTTTTTCTATGTATTTCCAATGCGATCTTATTTTTTTTTATTGTATATGATGCATATTTGTGTCCTTGACAATATGTATACAGTAGAACGTTCATAATGTCCCATGGAACTGTGATACATGTGTCAGTAATGTGTTTACAATAAATGTTTATTGTTGCAATATTACTTGTTAAAAATCTACTAAAATTACAATATGTAGTTTCACACACTATTTACACAGTAACACTGTATTACACACTCGGTACTTCGGAAGCGAGTAATAATCAACGAAGTAGTCCATGGTACACAGTGCGACTTCACTCTCGTTGCACCAGGTACAGATAGATTTTCGCTTCCTGTTTCCTCGTTCTGTGTGCTTGCAAATAACGCACTCACGTACACTCTTGGCATTAGTACTGTACCTGTAGGTGGTATGTAGCCAAGCTTGTAAAACGTAAGGTAGTCTTGAATAGATTGCAGGAAAAGATCAGTTTGTAAGGTAGTCGTGAAAAGATCACTTGGCAAGGTCCCACACAGGAAGAAATTCAGCCAGCCTCAAAGAGTGTCCGTCAGTCAAGAAGAGATTCAGCTATTCTTGAAAATATCTATGGAAAACGCCACCATGGAAGCTGCTAACACCATTCATCAATGCTACTAGTATCAGATGCATCATCACTGAACGCAGAAAATGATTCATCTATGTATCATCTAAATAAATTGGAGATAGCATAGCATAGGTGGGCAAGGATGGTGCTCAGAGCTACAACAGGATACGCTCGCTGTATCGTCCTCATAGGTGCCGTATCACTTGCATCCGACCTTTGTGTTAGGTCCTTATTGCGCCTAGCTTCAATATTATGACCCTTATGTTCTTCAAACAATAAGGTTTGAATTTCACCGTCAGCGCGATCTTTCAACACCGCGTTGGACAGGTGTTTGGGAGCCAGAGGCACGTGTGCCACCCATGGTTGCCCTTTCAGTACTAACCCAGCCAGCAGCCCTAGGGCATTCTGGGATTTTTTTCCAAAATGGCTGCCTCTCACTGGAGGTCCTAAGAGCTCATTTCGTACACAACCAACCCTGCACACATTTAGGATGGGTATGGAAAAATCAGAGTTTTCTTGGTTGGCGCAGTTTCCCGCCGACCGAGAATACTTGGTTGGCGCAGTTAAGTGGTTAACTTGGAGGACAGACGGATGTTAATTCCATTCCGTAACTCAACTGGGACATCTTGGGATTCGTCGGTCCATTCGCCAATATTTTGCTGGTTATCAGACTATTCAGTCTCCACTGACTAGGCCTACTTATTCCCATTGGAACAAATCTTGAGTACAGGACTGCACTGGGTGAACTGACTTGTTGACTAAGGTACCCTCCACATCACTTCTGAATAGTAAAAATTGTATAGTAAGGAAACTACACAGGTATCAGTAAGATCACATCCTTCCACCAGGAACAGAAAATGGGGACGGGTGCGCTCAACAGATGGCATTGACAGTCAAGTGGCAATTACTGGTATTTGCCGAACATTGATAAAACGTATAGAGTTGTGATTCAAGCAGAGGACATGATTGAAGCAAAAAATACATGCGTCTTCAGTTTCGTCGTGTGTAAAGTTTTTTATTCATAAAGGGGGCTTGGCCGCCGTATTTCTCCGTTGTTGATTGGGACAGGTTTATCAGTGTGTTTGACTGTGTCTGACGGTACAATTGCTGGAATGTAGTTAGAGGATGAAGGCTATGCTCATGGTGTTCTGTCTTCCCAGTACTGTCATATGACTGAAATTACTGATGGTTTTGGCTTCCACCGCCTTCTCACTTGTTTGAACCGTCTGCCACTGTTTGTAATAGAGATCCTTCTGTCTTTTTTGGTACCTTTGTTTCCTTAGCTTGAATCTATGACCCCTTGTTCTTAAAGCTGCAAGTTGCCAATTTTGTAGATTCCTGTTATTATTTTTTTATTTAGTGATCATATTGCCTCTCTTGAGTCTTGTAGCCTTGGTATACTGAACACCTCAAGGCTCTCCTCGTACCTCTTGTTTTTCAGTTTCAGAAGCCCCTTTTGTAGCATGTCTTTGCACTTCTTCCTGCTTATTGATTTGCTTCTTGAAATATGGGTCCCATACAACTGCTGCATATTCCAATTTTGGTCTAACAAAAGTCATGAACGGTTTTTGCTATTTCACCATCCATGTATTTAAAAGCAATTCTTAAAGTTGAAAAGTGTAGCATAGGCTCCTTCAACAATGTCAGTTTAGGTGGTCATCTGTTGTCTACTATCCAGAAACACCCCTAGTGTGTAATTACCTAAGTGTAATTACCTAAGTGTAGTTACAGGATGAGAGCTACGCTCATGGTGTCCCGTCTTCCCAGCACTCTTTGTCATATAATGCTTTGAAATTATTGACGGTTTTGGCCTCCACCACCTTCTCACTTAACTTGTTCCAACCGTCTGCCACTGTTTACAAAAGTGAATTTTCGTATATATCTCTGGCAGCTTTGTTTCGTTAGTTTAAATCTTTGACCTCTTGTTCTTGAAGTTCTTGAAGGGGTCTATGTTCTCCTATTCCACATTCCATAACATGACATTTATTAACATTAAATTCCATTTGCCAAGTGGTGCTCCATATACTTATTTTGTCCAGGTCTTCTTGAAGGGCATGACAGTCATCTAAATTTCTTATCCTTCCTATTATCTTAGCATCATCAGCAAACATGTTCATATAATTCTGTATACCAACTGGTAGATCATTTATGTACACAATAAACATCACTGGTGCAAGAACTGAACCCTGTGGTACTCCACTTGTGACATTTCTCCATTCTGATACATTGCCTCTGATTACTGCCCTCATTTTTCTATCAGTCAGAAAATTTTTCATCCATGATAGAAGCTTACCTGTCACCCCTCCAATATTTTCCAGTTTCCAGAACAACCTCTTATGTGGAACTCTGTCGAAAGCCTTTTTTAGGTCCAGATAGATGCAGTCAACCCAACCATCTCTTTCCTGTAATATCTCTGTGGCTCGATCATAGAAACTGAGTAAATTCGATACACAGGATCTTCCAGATCGAAAACCATACTGTCTGTCTGATATTATATCATTTCTCTCTAGGTGTTCTACCCATTTAGTTTTGATTAGTTTTTCCAATACTTTCACTATTGCACTTGTCAATGATACAGGTCTATAATTGAGGGGGTCTTCCCTGCTGCCACTTTTGTAGATTGGAACTATGTTAGCCTGTTTCCACCCGTCTGCTACGATTGCTGTACACAGGGATGCCTGAAAGATCAGGTGAAGTGGAATGCTGAGCTCAGATGCACATTCTCTCAGAACCCATGGTGAAACGCCATCTGGGCCAGCTGCTTTGTTCTTACCGAGCTCCTTGAGCATTTTTTCCACTTCGTCTCTAGACACCTCTATGTGTTCTATGTTGTTCTCTGGAATTCTTATTGTATCTGGTTCCCTAAAGATTTCATTTTGTACAAACACACTTTGGAACTTTTCGTTTAGTGTTTCACACATTTCCTTTTCATCTTCCGTGAATCTATTTCCCATTTTCAACCTCTGAATATTATCCTTTACCTGCAATTTGTTGTTTATGAATTTATAGAATAGACCTGGTTCTGTTTTACATTTGTCCGCAATCCCTTTTTCAAAATTTCTTTCTGCCTCTCTCCTCACTGCCGTGTAGTTGTTTCTCGCATCTTTGTATCGCTGGTATGTTTGGGGGTTCGGCCTCTTCCTGTATTGATTCCATTTTTGTGTCTTTCGGTCTCTAGCCCTCTCGCAATTTCTATTGAACCAATCCTGTTTCCTAGTTCTGCATCTCTGTTTTGGTATAAATTTTTTTGTGCCTTTATCATATATTTCACAAAACTTGCCATACATCTCATTCACTTCCTTGCCTAGCATCAAGTCTGTCCAATTATACTCACTAAAAAAATTTCTAAGGTCACCATAATGTCCTCTCCTGAAGTCTGGTTTTTCAACTGCTTCAACCTCCTTATTTTCTTCCAGCTTATAACGCATTGCATACTTTATTCCTGTGTGTGTGAGCTTGTGTTTTGATGTGTTCATGTTATCTACTTTTTTCTGTAACTATCATTTATATTTAAAATAATGCTAGGTAAGCTGACCACAAAGAAACTAGTGGCTAGCGATGTTTCCATTGTACGATGTAATTGCATGTGTGTCTAATTTTCGTGTTTAGAAATCTAGTTTGATAGCCACATCTAGCTTTTAAAACTATTTCATGGTGTGTGCATTTCTGGAGATACAGGTAGTGTGTGTAATGTGGGTACCTCCTTTGATACCTTCTGAATTAAATTTGGTATATAATTAAGTCGGGTATTAAGAGTTTGAGTTTTTTTTTAAGTACTGCTCAGTAATTTATAATCATTCTTTACAAGTTACTAAATGTATTCTTTATTTCTTGCAGATGAGAAACTTTTGCCAAGATGGGGGACGGAATGCTATCATTGTACTGGAACAATCACAGAGCAACATTTTGCCACATCCTATCAACACTCAGGGAAAAGGTAAGAATGTTAGAGCATATGACAGAGTTAATAGAGAACTCTTGGAAGTGATTCACTTGTATGGTGTTGACAGTTTTTTTTTGTGCTAAATGTTATGAAATATTTTGTCAGGAAGTAGTGCCTGTGTTTATGGTATAACAAGTGACTGGTTGATATTGTTGTATGTGTGTGCCAAGATTGTGTGGTGGTATCCTGGTTCTTTGGTAGCCCATTGTAGGGTAAAGCTCGGGTATCCAGCCACTTAAATTATATTAAAAACTGAAAAATTAAAATACAGCTGGCCTGTGTGGTGTTGGAGTGTATAAAGTGTTTGGATGCATTTCTCAGTTACATGTGTTTGAGATTAGATTTAAGCTGATTAGTGCATATAATCCACACCAATCCTCGGGTTTACCATGTTGTCGTCAGCAAGTTGGACTTGCTGACGACAGTCCGCAAGATAATGCTTGATTGCTTTAAGAGTTTTATGTATTTACAGGTGCATATCTCAAGTATTTTGGATTTCATAAAGTGCTGAATTTATGGCTGGAAAGTGAAGGGAGCTTTAAATATCAATGTTTAAATAAAAAAACAAATAATATTTGTCTTGTCAAATAAAATGTTGGCAAAATTAAGTTTTGGTGGCCTCTGGGAACTAAATTTTTCCCATACACTGTACTGTATCTTTCAATTTTGTTTTATGCAGGAATGTTACACCTGCACTTATGGCCACAGAAATACCATTACGAAGAAGTGTGCGATATATATGGTTAACAGTATATAGACAGTGGAGACTTGTACAATGATGCCTCGTTCAAAATGAAAATGCAGTTATGTTACTGACAAGTATTAGCCAAAATATGACAGTGGGTGGATGGGCAGGTGGTCTTATCATCCATTTGTAAAGGAATATCCTCAAAATATAGTGTGTGTGTATGTTATGTCCTGTATTATATCCACCATTCTTTCAACACTTGTCCGGCATTTTAATAAGAGTTGGTAATGGCCACTCCACATTTGGTGGCTTGTTCCATGGGAACCGCAGAGTATTAATTCACCTGTTAACATAGTATCGACATCTTGAGGTTATCTTGAGATGATTTCGGGGCTTTAGTGTCCCTGCGGCCCGGTCCTCGACCAGGTCTCCACCCCCAGGAAGCAGCCCGTGGCAGCTGACTAACACCCAGGTAACTATTTTACTGCTAGGTAACAGGGGCATAGGGTGAAAGAAACCCTGCTCATTGTTTCTCGCTGGCGCCCGGGATCGAACCCGGGACCACAGGATCACAAGTCCAGCGTGCTGTCCACTCAGCCGACCGGCTCCCCCGGCATAAATTGGTTGGTTCTTCAATTGTCTTTGAAGATGCCCTGTTTAAACAATGTGATTCTCCAGACTTCCTGTTGCAACAAGAGTATTGACTTTAGGCGAATTATCAGAAATAATGTTTATTTTGTTATGGTAACTGCTTTGGTGCTGAACCAATTACATGTTCTGTATTCTCGGTGGATGGTGCAACACCAGCAAAACTTCCTCCTCGTATCAGATATTTTTCATGGCATTTCTCCCCAATAAATTAAAAAACAAAGAAACAAAGAAACATACACTTCACTCGTAAATGTTCTGACGAGTGACGTGATGGACAGCAGCATACGGTAATGACCACTGGCCGCATTTTCGCCTAGATGTAATGTAGTATGTATGGGCACGTAGCCACGTGGCAATAACCATGCTGCTGTAGACCCGTTTGTACTGCTGACATGGATTTGTATATCCAGAAGGTGGAGGTCGATATGCACGTTTTAGACATTTCGACCCCAGGGGAATCTCCCTGTGCTGTAGTTGTATTGGTGACTGTAATCACCTAGTTGTGCTTGCAGGGGGGGGGGGGGGGGTTGAGCTCTGGCTCTTTGGTTTAGAGTATCTGTGTATCAGAGCTTGGGTTAATGTGGCACTGATATTCTGCTACATCATTTATTACTTATAAAGCACTTTCACTGTGTGTTGAAAAAGTGTATATCGGTTAGGATTTTTGTTGTTGTAATTCATTTATACACTTGAGGCAAACCCTCATTTACACTAAATTGGGTAGCTTCCTAGAATTGCATATTTTATTTTTTGTAAGGTTATCAAGTAGGCAGTTGACAAATGGATGTACATTACTGTACATAATTGTACATAACTGTACATAATGTATTGTACATAATTATAGGTTACTTGTATCTTCTGTTTTAATATTACTCTATTAAAATAATCTACATTATTCGTAATAGATTTCTAAATTATTTTATTCTTAAATATATTATAAAGGGCATTTGATTTATATACTGTTTAAATATTTTTCAGGAGCGGTACACAGATGCAACCCTGGCCTGTGAAGGAAAGTTTTACCCTGTGCATAAGTTGGTGCTATCAACATGTAGTGAATATTTTGAAAATATGTTTGAGCACACACCATGTAAACACCCAATTATAGTGCTGAAAGATGTTAAACCTGATGAACTAGAGGCATTACTCAGCTACATGTATGCCGGTGTTGTTAGTGTGGCTCAGAATGACCTCGCAAGACTCATTAAAGCGGCAGAAATGCTTCAGATTAAAGGTTTGGCTGTACCCGACGAACCACCACCGGGAGACGAAAGTAAAAGACCCGCGCCCTCTAGAAGTGGGCGGGAAGATAGATCGAGTCCATTACCCAAAAAAAGACGACGAGAAGAGAACGGCACCCCCTCTCAGGGTGGCTCGCAACCCTCCAACAGTCCACCATCCTCACCTAGAGCCTCTCCGTACCAACCTGAAAGTGAACCGTCTCAGGCACGCTCCAGAACACATGGAGACGCTCACCGGACGGACAGAGTGGACACTTCTGATCAGCCTTCTTCACACGAGTCCCAGGCATCAGATGTTAAAGTAAGTTATTGTCTTCTAATAAAAATATTAGCTATGCTTGCTCTAACTGCATGTAGGTTTGACATTTATGAAGGATCAACTGGGATACTTGTATAATTTTTGTTTACATCTGTTCAGTGTCTTGATGATGCCTTATTGTCCTGACCTCAGACCTAGTACAGTACAGAATACTAAAGCATATTTTGTTTGGGTGTTATCCTGAGAGCCATTTCAGATTCCCTTGTGATCACTAATGTTTGTGCATACAGTAATCCTAAAAGTTAGATATGTTTCATGAGAGGGCACTGTAGCTCAGAGGCACAATATTTAATAATTGTTTTCTGTATCTGAAGAATGTTGTCATGTTGACACTGAAAACATTTTTTCAATGTATGGTAAAACTGAATCAAGCAACTTCATTTGGCGAGCAGTTTAGCCCAGGCCATTTTTCTGGGGGGAGCCCCTTTGGCTCCCCGGAGCTTACTAGGCTGATATGCTAATGTCAGACTTTGGCATTAGTCATGTGTATGGAGTTCTGTGGGCCTACCAGGGACCATGAGCCAGAACCTGGCCCCCTCAGAGACATGGGGAGCAATGGCCTATAGAAACCCCCCGTGTGGTTGGAAGCATCCGTGAACATCTTCAAGAGAAAACTGGACTTTTCCAAGAAGTTCCGGATCAGCCGGGCTGTGGTGAGTATGTGGGCCTGCGGGCCGCTCCAAGCAACAGCCTGGTGGACCAAAGTCTCACAAGTCGAGCCTGGCCTCGGGCCGGGCTTGGGGAGTGGAAGAACTCCCAGAACCCCATCAAGCAGGTATGTCAGCAATCGACCAGGTCAGGCACCCAGAAAGGTAAGCATCCTAAAACAAACAAATATTCTGGTGACATTATTGCTACCAAAAGCCGAACAAGTGAATAGAACTCCCCTAAAAGAAACGAGCAAACGATCATGACGTCACACGTCGCCGCGCCGCTGTGTGCGCAGCTCCCCCCTCCCCTGGAGGGGGAAGGGGGAGCCTAGACCCCTCACGCCTGCTATCCACCCGTCAGTTCTAAGGCTGATGATAGAGGCTGAGGTCGTGTGCTCTGGCTCCGGTGGTTGTCTCAGCACTGTATCTAGAGTGTGGTGACTGTCTTCTAGGTGATGCGTGAGCCGGGAGTGATTCTCCAGTACTCAGGCTGCATGCGCCTAGGGTTTTCTTCCCTAGGTGCCCTGTAAGTACTGCCCTTGGGGCTTGGGGTTACCTTCCACAAGTTCCTTGGGATCTGCCCCTGCTAGGCCGTTTACTGCTTGGTTTTCGGCTGCCCTTTGTGCTAGGGTGTTCTGTCTCCTTTGTTTGCCTTGGGGGTAGGGGGCAGTTTGCACTGGTAGGGGCACAGGGTACTGCGCAGGTTGTTTCACCAATCACGCGGAAACGGGTTGTTCTTCGTCCCTCTTTGTCACTTTATGGTCATCCCCTTGAATACAAAGATTCCGCGAAGCTTTTGGGGTTATTCCTTGACACTCGTTTGTCTTGGTCTCCCCATATCTCTTACCTCCGTGTTGAGTGCTCTAAGTCCCTTACCCTCCTTCGGGTCTTGTCCCATACTTCTTGGGGGGCAGATAGGCGCACTCTCCTTGCTTTACATTCCTCTCTCGTCCTGTCTAAGCTCGATTATGGTTGCCCTGCTTACTCGTCTGCTTCTCCTTCTACTCTTCGCCGTCTTGATGCTTTGCACCATGCTGGGTTGCGCCTCAGTTCTGGTGCCTTTCGTTCGACTCCCGTCCTTAGCTTGTATGTTGACACTGGCTTCCTGTCTCTCCAGGACCGCCGTGATCGCTACTGTCTTCGCTATCTTGCGCGGTCCTTGCAACATCCTTCCTCTCGTCTCTGTCGTGCTTTAACTTTTACCCCTCCTGCGGTTCCTGTTCCTCTTCACCACCTCCCTCTTTCTGTCCGGTTATCTCGCCTGCAGGATTCTCTTTCCGTTCGTATTTCTGATGTTTCTCCTCGTGTTGTTCCTTCTTTGCCCCCGTGGAGGGTCCCTCTTCCGCGGTTTTGTACATCCTTGACTCGTATCACTAAAGCTTTTACCCCTCCTACAGTTCTAAAACGCCTTTTCCTCGAGCACTTTTCTTCTCACTCCCGCTCCGTTTCTGTCTTCACCGATGGGTCTAAGTCAGCGGACGGTGTTGGCTACTCTGTTGTTTTTCCTGATCGCACTTATATGTGTCGCTTGCCTCCGGAGACTAGCATCTTTACAGCGGAACTTTATGCTATTCTCTATGCTCTTCGTCTCCTGCTTTCTCGTTGTCAGTCTTCCTTTGTGGTTGTTGTTGACTCTCGTAGTGCCCTCATGGCTCTCGGGTGCTTTAATCCAGTTCATGGCGGCCGGCTGTGTTCCTCCTAGATACGCTGCCTTCTTTTGATAATTACTTACTTACTTGCACTGGTAGGGGCACAGGGTACTGCGCAGGTTGTTTTCACCAATCATGGCGGCCGGCTGTGTTCCTCCTAGATACGCTGTCCTCTTGCGGGGTTTTCTTTTTCTTTTTGTTTTTCTGCCTGGTGGGGGTCTACCTTGGTTCTTGTCCCGTGTGTTGAGTACTCTTCCTTCTTCCGGTAGTTTCCCCTGCTAGGTCCCTGTGAGTGTACACGTCCCGGGGGTTCAGTTCTTAGAAAGTTGTTTGGTATTTATGGGCGCCGGTTAGCAGTACTCTGCCTGGGTACTGCTGGGTGTGAGTCCAGCAAATTACCTGGGCGTGAGTCCCTGTAGGTAAACGATCAGGATCCTGGCAAACCCTGTGGGGGCATGTGGGTCCGATGGTTGTGGCCCCGGAGTCCCCCCTTGCTTTGTGCGAGTTCGAGGGTTGCTCTGTTCCCTTGTGTGACGGGGCATAGGGGTATTGGACGCTTTGGTTTTGTTCCTTCTGCGCCCCCCTTGTCTTTCCCCTGTTATGGTCCCTTCCTCCCTGCATCCGGATCCTTACCGTTTGTGGGTTCGGGGTCGAGGTGGGGCTTCGTGTGTCTTGAGACTCGGGCGGTCTCGGGGATTCCCCCCTTCCGGGGGTAGTGACGGAGGCATTCGAGCCTGTTCCTCCAGCCGTGTTGTATGAGTCTGCCAGTAGGCTCCCTTCTTCAGTGCTTGTCCGGTTTCCCGAGCTTTTCTTTTTCGGACCCAGAACATCAAAGTGTTAACAACACTGTTTTGTCTATTTTTCTAGTAGCATTCGTGGTTTCTTCTCCAGCTCGCAACTTCTGGTGACCCACATCTGGCATCCCTGCTGCGCATGCGCCGTGGTTGTTTTAGATACGGGCGGTGTGCACGTGTGCTGGGGTTTTGCGTCCCTTTTCTCTCAGGTGCTTCACCTCTCGCTCTTCTCAGTTCTCCAGTCCGTGCCCCATAGCTCCTGGGGGCATTCTGGTTTCCTGCTATGGGGAGGACGCTGGGTTTTCCCTGCGTATGGGTCTGGGACTCCTCCTTTGCCTCTACCCTACTCTTCTGCATGTGCGGCTCTTGCCTTCTTCCACTGGCAGTGCTCCCGGAATCTTCTCAGGTACGTTGTGTCGTGACACATTCGTACCTACGTTCTGCAGGCGAGTTTATGCAGTCTGGCATCTCTTTCGGCCAGGCAGTGGTTTGTGGTTTTGGGATACGTATATAAGAACATCAGAACACAGGTGACTGCAGCAGGCCTATTGGGCAATACGAGGCAGCTCCTATTTATACCCATCCAGTCCCACTCTTATGCATGTCCAGCCCATGCTCGAGTCCAAATAGGGGGCCCTTCCTCCCCCAGGTTACGAGGTACAATGGTGGGGGTATATGTTATGGGAGTGTGTGTGTTCCTGTCTGGACGTTTTGAGGTGACGTTTTGCTGCAGTTTTCATGCTGTGGCTGAGTGTTGGGGATTGGTTGTGGATTTTTGTTTGACCCCCCCATGCTTCCTGGGGCCTTACTTGTTCGTCTGGGTTAATGGTTGCATGGGGGGTCATGGGCCCCGTTTTTCATAGTTTTATCTGGGTCACTCATTCCTTGCACGTCTTGCAGTGCCTGGCTTAGCCCTTCCATACATTGGATTCTCTGTACGGTACTTACCTAGTTGTCTTATCTAGTTGTGTTTGCGGGTGTTGAGCTCTGTCTTTTCGATCCTGCTTCTCGCCTGTCATTCGCTCTCGTGCAGGTTCCTGGGCCTGCTGGGCTCTATCTTATCTGCGCTAGAAGCTGTGTGTGGTGTCATCCTCCACCATACTGCTTCCTTATGCTTTCCACCTGTCTACTACTGACACTGTAATACTACTTTCCCATGTCTCTTTGGCCCGTTTGGGCTCTCCTTCCACCAGTCCCCCCTGGTGGGTGTGCCCCTGGGGTCCCGAAGTCGGTCTTTTCTATCCTATCCCTTCCTTTGGGAATCTTACATGTGGTGATCATATCCTCTTAGCTCGTACTCCTTGGTTCGGGTACTGGTCTGATGGCGTACGTTTGCACTTTTTTTTTCTTAATTGTTTTTCCCATCTCATTTGCCAGCTTGGGTTTACGGCTCTGCTGGCTCCTTGGTCGCACCCGAGATTTTCCTGTGGCTCTGCCTCTTCCTAGGCTCGATTGGCCATGGCGGGGCCGGTTCGGTTCTTCCTCGAGTCTTTCACCTTCTGTTGGTGGTTGGTGGTCGGGTGGCTTCGTTGATGGTGTCCCACCTGCGTGCTGCTTCTTGGTGGCAGTGTGGGGTTTTTGGCGGTCCTTCCTTTTCCTTCTGTTCCTTTCTCGGTAGCTGCGTTTGTTGGCGTGGTCTTGTCCTTCTCTTGTGGAGGTTTGGGGCCGTCATCTTGCCCCATACTGTCGCCTTGTATCGTGCGGCGCTGGCGGAGACGCATCAGCTTGCTTTTGGTATTGATGTTACTTCTGTGCCATTTTGCAAGCTTGTTTCATTGTTTCATTGCATTGTTTCACCTCTGGCCTGCTCGTGCGCTGTCTGAGCCGTCCTGGTCATTGGACAGTGTGCTCTTTTTCTTTCTTCTCCTCGGTTTGTTGTGGCCCCTTTG